GCATACAGCCTGAGCTACACCGATCTGATCGAAGATGCGGGCAGTGTTCTCCGTCAGCAAAGTTTACCTCTGTGTTTGTGTTTGGTGGAAGCTTAATCAGCCTGAACAAACAAGACACAGAACCTCGACCAGCACAAACAACACACAGGCTCACTCACCTTCCCTTCAGCTCCGCAAGAGAGAACGGAGCAGCGCAGACATCTCACAAGAGCTGGAGCGCATCCCTTCTTATTCCTCCAAACTGACAGCCCGACCAGTTTTGATTAACTAGTCACAACCAGTGTGTCTTGATTATCATAAAGGCTCCGCAGATGTTATTTACAGGGCACTTTGTTGTTCTTTGATGCTATCCAAAAGCAAGCAAAAAGTGTTTTTCATTCCCTAAATATAGTATGAGACACTGCAAGACTCAAACACCAGCAAAAATGTATTTCCCTCTAAAATGTATTTACTGTACTCTCCTTGAAGGTGCACTGTCCGTGTTTTAAAAAATCTGTCTCATACAATTGCCAACCAAAGGGACATCATCCATTGTGCTTTGCCTTTTCCAGACTCTGTTTGATTAATACTTTAACATATTTATGCTCATTGACAATGTTGGAAGCTGGAGACGTATATGCACAACAAAACAACATACACGCTGCTGAACAGACAATATAAGAAGAACTCATTAAGATATAAATCAAAATGAGCGCTTCATGTCAGCAAAAGCAACATAATATATTACAGCAGTTCAGGTGGGTAGCTGCGTCAGCATGCGTAGGCTGCAAAGGAACAAGTAGCAGGTTTATCCCCTGCTGAAAAGAGAAGAAAGAAAACACAACGTTTCGGCTGTGGAGCCTGTTTTCTTTCGTCTCTTTCCAGAGTGGAATAAACCTGTTACTTGTTCCTGAGCATAATATGTCACAGCACATGTAAGAGGAAAGCCATAGCTGCCGTGAGCTTGTTGAGAACCAAGCCCACCCGCTGTGCTGTCTCTCAAGTCATGTTGTGTTCTTTCTTTTTGATTTCCAGCATTGCCCTTCTCCTCGTTCCCTGGTTCTCTAGCAAAAACAGAAAACAGAAAACCCACATGACGCCCAGGGCTGGAATCACCTGGCAAGGGTGGCAAAAGAAGCAAAAACCCAAAGAGGAGGAGTTTTATATTGACTGGCAGGTCCCTAGTGATTTCTATGCCTTACAAGGGGCAGGTTGACCCTTGCAATTCCCTTTCCATCGAGCTGCGGGAAAAGCAAGGCTACAGTAGGTTTGGAGAGGCCTACATAAGTGACGATGGGTTGCTGTACAAGGTGCAACATACCCGAGGGCTGGGACGCCGGAAGGGGACCTTAGGAACCCACACCCACAACAAAGGAGCCGTAAGACCCGAACAATATTCTTTTATGTACAGAGTGGGGAAAATCAAATCAAGACAGATGACAGACAAGACCAACCATCAGAAACCTCTGCTTCCTGCTTCCTGAACTGTCACCTGACCAATGGTCTTCCAGCTCCTGGACAGCTGACTGAGGACAGAAACTAATTTCCTACAGCACACTGGGGAGTGAAGAATTTCCATTTTGCCTCAATGTACAGTACTGCCCTGTTACAAAGAAGAAAGCACAAGACAGGAAGTTGGTAGGATCTGAAGCAGTCAGAGCCTAAATGTTGAATTCGGGCCATTTCACACCCTGTCATGTGGGCCATGAGAAGACTAACAAGAATAGCTAGCAGGTTCTGCTGGCAAGCCCTTTATACTAAGTATAAAGCCTAGAGCATCTTTTGCAGTGTTTAAACATAGTAAGGAAGCCATGGATATTGCAAGTCCCTAGGCAGATCAGGTAGCACATTGTATTAGTGCTAATTGGTTATGCAGCCCGACTTCCTAATGCAAGCATTTCTGTTGTGTAGCATTAAGGATAACTGGGTAGTAAAGATGCTAAATGCATTCCTATCCTTGTGTATTCCCAGAAAGATTACCACTGATCTTGATCAAAGCTTTTCACGATCACATACTGTATAGACTCACAGACTGACTGGGATTTGGTGGAATAATCAGATCCTGAAGACAATGCTTTAGCACTTTGAGTGGGTGATAAAGGAAAATGACTGCGGCTTCCAGTCATCGTCCCCCCTCTCTCTGCACGCAGAGAGGTCCCTCAGGCCTAAGCTGATTCCTCACCCTGCACCATGGCAGGACATTGAGAGGGCTGCAGGAGGAGGACACTGGGGAGCAGCTGAAAACGTCCTGCAGAACGAACTAAAGATCTGGAACAAGCTGGAGGACTTCGCTTTTCTGCTTCAACACATCTTGGCCGAGACGTCTAGTTACAACACGCGAGCCAGGAAAATGTTACATAAACCAGGTCAAAAAGTGCTCTTGCTTTCAACAGGATCTGAACAGAAGCTCTCTGTGAAATGGCAAGTCTTGCGCACAGCCAGTCTGGTTACCTTTGAGATCGGCATGCCAGATTAAGGTAAGAAGGAATGGTTTTTCTTCTGCAGTTTCTTCTTTGTACTGTACATCTCCTGATGGAATGGAAAGACTGAACGTGGGCCCAGATGTTACTGACTCAATGCGTCCAAGATGAAGAAAATTAGGAACAGGTTTCTCCAATGGGATAGCTGAAGAGTTGCCAGACATCTCCAACCCGACTACAGGGCAGCAGCAACAGATACAGATACAGAAATCACAATGAATTGCAATGGTACAAAACAACATCCAGTCATTATGAAAACCTGGAAGGACCCGGATTTTATTTTATTCTAAAAAAACCTGATCATGGCCTTCAGGAAAACTAATAACTACATTATGCATGCAGGTTATTGAAGATTCCTGCAGCTCCTGGAATTGCCCTGCGGTTAAAAGAAATCTCAGAGTTTGCTATGTGTTTTCAACCTGTATGTGTTCTCAACCCTGCAGTACATACAGCAGATGAGCTAGCAGCTGGGAAGCGCCCAGTACATTTCTACCTTAAACAACGGATATTTAGCAAGTACTACTGAGGTCAAACGCAAAGCAATTAACTAAATTGACTGTTAACTAGCAATTAGCATTCTATACCCCATTTGGTTTGTTTTAGACGCCATCTAGTGATGTTTTTTGGACTACAGGAAATCCTGGCCATCCTCCAGTGTAGTCTTCAACATATACTTAGTGCCACCTGGGAGCAACATCTTGAGCACACTGCAGCTCAGTGATGTGTTGCACAAGATCCATGACGCTGGACTGATCACCAATGGGTATAATGCACCTTGACCAAAACAGAGGTGCAATATACCTGAGGCTTTCCTTAGGCAATGATGTTCTTCAGCCTCAAGAGTGCAAAGCGCAGGCCATGTCAATGCAAAAAAACCTGTTTGATTAATAATAGACGTTCAATTCCCTTATCTGTTGTTGGTGAAACCATGTGCCACAGGATTTAAGGCAGTAACAGTGCGGAGAGCAGGATAAGGGAAAGACAAGACTATTCAAATTGTTAATAAATACAGTATGTTATGATATTTTATTTAGGGTTGCAGCTGAACTTTCACTTGCCAAAGCTGAAACCACATTCAAAGTCAGGGCCAAAGATACACTGTAGGGGTGGCGAGGTGGGTCTGTGGTTACGGATCTGCGCCTGTCGCTGTCTAATCATGTATTTTTGAAACCTGACATCGATTAGCTGATTTGTTATCCTATGTACTGTAGCTTGTAATGTTCCTTAATTGCTTAAGCTAGCATACACCCTGTCAAAACACGTCATAGCAGCAGAAAATTCATGACCTTATGGTGGACATGATATCAAACACTGATATCAAGGCTGATCTGGTCAGATCTCAGAAGCTATGCAGGGTCTGGTTGGCGTAATGCTGCAAGTGGTGTAAGTAGACCAGTAGGTGGTGCTCTTCCCACTGAATCAGAATTCCCAAACCAGTGACTCAGAATTGTGACCGGTGCTATAGATGATGTCATTTCTTTGGATGAGACATTAAACTGAGGTTCTGACTACTGATCATTAACAGTCCCACAGAACTGAGCGCTAGATTAGGGGGTGTTCAATCCTGCGTCTTGGTTAACTTACACTTTGGGGCTGTACAGTCTTGCTTTCCTAAAGGTGCTCCTTAATTTAACTGTCAAAGCCAGTTCTTCTCTCCTTCATCTGATCTGCTGTATAGTGGGGCTTGTGGATACTCCCCCAGGCGGGGGCTGCTCCTCAATGGGGGATGATGGGGTCCCCTTCCTTTCTGTAGAGCACTCTGGGATCCTCCAGGGTGAAACGTAAAGATGTTCAATGAATTCATTGTAGAGCAATATTATGTAATTGTGAGAGGCTAAAAACAATAGAACTCCACTGAACTCACAGTACAAGTTCACAAACACGACACAACGCACAATAACAACATGCATTATCCTTTATAACCATTTGCACACATGACGTTACAGGTGTGCAATTTTTTATCACAGTTCATAAAGAGCTTCAACCCAAAGCTAAAAGCAGAACTCCAGGTGGAGAGAAATAAGGGAACAGCAATGGAAGACGCCATTAAGGATTTGAGAGTTGGGAAGGACTTTCTGCAGACGTAGCACAGTAAGAGTGGTTCTGGTATGTTTCATGTGAAATCGCACTCTGCTTTATGGTTTATCGTGTTGCTGATTTTTAGCCTTGTTCAAGTGAAGTATTACCACAAAGTTTTAACTAGGATAACAACAGATTCCTCCCATAGATCTCCCTGAAAATTGGATTTTGTAGGATATGTTTGAATATAACAATCTACCTGAACCAGGCCAATATTGTGTTTGTCTCAGAATCTGAACTTCTTTTTATGGGAAGCAATTGTTTCACAGAAAAACCACCTTTCATTTTGTAAATCATACAGGTCTTGAATTAATCAAACACATCTGCAACCCAGGACCTAGAAACAATTACTGTACTTCCTTGATAGCTCTGAATTATGTTCTCTAAAATCAGAGTGTAAACTGTAGATATTTAATTGAGAGGTTATTTTTTTACAAAAAACAAGAGAGCAGACACAAGTGCTCTAACAGAGAAGAGAAACTTTATATCAGTATATCCAAAACCCATATTATACTTTTCAGTGTATTTACAGAAACTGAACACAAGGTAAAAAAATAAACACATCACAAATGAAAAAAAAAAAAACAGAATCCAAAAAATTTTGTGACAAGTCTTTCATTTACAAAAGAGGCTCCCTCATATTTCCAACTCGCAGATTTTCATTAAAAAAAAACAAAATGGCAGATACTATTACAATGATACGTATGCCAAAAAAACAACAACGTTCTTTTATGTATTTCTTAAATAATTCACAAAAACACATGAGTTGGATTTTCAAGCTATAAAATTGCCATTTGCTGCATAAAAATATTGGAGAAAACAATAAAATTTCACGAAACTTGAGCTTTTTAATAATAACATTAATAATAATTACTATAGTAATAATGGGCAGTGGTTTAAGGTAAGAAACAGAATAAAGCCTTTTTTTTACCAAGAAGGAAAAGAAAGGAAATCACAGTTTGTCCGGATGACATGAGTTTAAAGAGACTGGCTTGGATAAATACAGGTTTTATCAAAACTCTTTAAAACATTTCCCTCTTTATCCTTGTTTGCAGAACCTTTTAGTTTACAAAGTTTGCTCACTGCTGCTTTCATCTCTTGGGACAATTTCTGAAATCCCACCCATTTGTGTGTCAAATTCCAGGATTGTTTTTCTTTAAAAAAAAATTCCACATCCCAAAACGTTTTGACAGCTATATTATTGTGTAATATGCAACATACTGTATACCTCTGTCATACTTCATCATCATGCATTTGCACAACACAGAGCGAGTCAACAGGTAACTAAATATGTCCCCCCAAAAATGTGACATTAATGCACTCTCTTTCTTGTCCAATTTATTTTGAGTTATCCTTTATTTAATCAGACACGTCAACTGAACCTCTCATTCACAATGACTACCTGGAGACCCATTTATGCACGCTATGGCATTTAGTGGAGTGATTCTGCTGAAGTATGTTGATCCAGTGTACCACAGCAGCATCCCAGATCAGACCGGAACCCACAGCCCTCCAGCTCCAGGGAGTTGTCCTAGCTACTAATACATTCTGCAGCCCAAATTACATACACAACAGTTTTCTCCCACCCAAGTGGCTTCCTGCAGAATGAAACTTTTGTTGACAGACTGTTGTTCTATGCTTCTACTCAACAGCATGGTCTGCCCTCAAAACAAAAAACAACACACTGCCACACAGAACCAAGTGCTCCCATGTGCATGCTTATTTAGGTGTTTGTGTTGCCCGTTATGGAATGGAGGCAGCACATGTGGCGGCTAATCTTTACTCATAAACCCAAAATGCAGAGGAAGCTAGAAGAAGAAAAGCCTCCTTTTGATAAACCACAGCAATTCTCCGGCCCAGGAGTCCACTCTCAGGGTCCACCTGACACCACTACCCTCAGTGACCCTGGTGGAGCACTCAGAGGAGTGAAGGTTTGATGGGGTTGGGGATCGGGGCAGTGATGAACGAAGCAGCCAACTCTCTCAAGACTGCAGCCAGGAGGAAAAACACAGACGCACTGTGCAGACACGCAGGGACGGAAAACAAACCGCCACTTAAGAGAGACAACTCTCACACTGTGGCCATGAGTCAGACAGAGCACGGTCCCTACAAGAAAGGGTCACTTTGGATTGAGAAATGGATGAGCTGGTTTCACAACACCTGTGTTCTCTGGTGTCTTTAAATCTAAAAATAAAAGACTCTTAAAAATGCAGAAGGATAACCCTTCACATCCCACGTCAATTGTAGAGAAGATCAGGTTGACTTACGATTAAAACTGTAATATTGCAAGAGCACTTAGACCGCAAGAGGCAGCAGATCCTACACTGAACTGAAACCTGGCTCCCTGGTGGAGGAAGGACACGGTAAGCGGCAGACTCTGCGTGTATTGCCTTTGTCCGTCTCTGCTGCGCGTTGACTGGCAGTGGCTACTCAGGGTGCGAAGCAACAAATTCCAAAAACAAAAGGGGGAGAGAATATTTGCAGGTATATATAGACACAAATCATGGAAACGAAGTAAAATGGTGGCATATAATGCACAGTTTTAGCAAATAGGTTCACCACATACAGTATTTAAAACTCTGCAGTGTGTGGAGTGCATCAGTATGGGACACTTTCTGATGGGTTTCCTGATAACACATAAAATTGTACCATGTAGATGTACAGTAAAACCATAACAGGAAACGAGTTATTTTCACAAAAAACATAAACAATCTATAATAATGTCAATCCCAAACACCCTTTTATCTTTGCATCCATCATTTTTTCCAGCAGCGCCAGGTGTTTCAGACCTGCAGCTCAATATTGCGGAGAATGGCAGGAATCCTTCGGGATGCCTCTTAACAAACCAACCCAAAACTCAATGGCTGACGAAGTGGCCTAGTCGAGTTTCATACAACCTTTTCGAAAAGTCAGAAAAGTAAAGACGGTGAGACGAAAAATATATTTTGCAAACTGCCCGTGAAACTTTAAAACAATTAAAAACAGAAAGAATAACAGCGCTTATTGGCCTCTGAATGCAAAGGAAAACATGATAAGACTGCAAGTCTTTTTAGCTCTGGATATATATCAGTGTCGACAAGAAAATAAAAAGCTATGTGCCTGCGTCTGGGCTCCTCTGAAAGACAATGGCAGTTAACAGCAGGCGGGGGTTAGCCTGTTGCATTTCCCAGTTGAGAAGCATTTGATACAAATGAATGAAATATAAATATGTATAAACCCATCAGAGTTGTCATAACAGAGCAAGTCTTATCAGTGCCAAAGGCTAGTGCGCAACACAGTCAATGACATGAAACATGAAATAAGGGTTATCAAAGAACTTCTAACGAAATCCAGAAGAAAGATAAACTGCCCAAAACAGAAGTGTCAAACAATTCGTTTCGGCTTCATAAAAAGCCCAGATGAAAAAAGCAGGGCAAAAAGATCAGTTTCAAATTTTGTTTCCCTGCAAGTTGCACCAGCCTCTCGCTCAAGAGACTCAACTCCTGGAGCTTCATCGCTTAGAGAGGGGATGGCTATTTCATTTCAGGAGTCAGTCCAGCCTTTCTACACTCACACTACCACAGGGGAGGCACCAGACAGAGCCTGCTTCGTAGAAATCACAGAAACAAAGCTTTTAGAGGCGAACAAAATCTTTCCTTCAAGGAAGCTGGGCCCAGATCCACTGTCCCTAGATCATAATGTAAGTCCTAACAATATTGTCTGCTTCACCTTGACCTGCACCAAGAGGGCCAGCTTTTCTGTTGCCTTTTCATTTGAAAAAGAAACAAGTAACTCAAGTTTGAAAAAAAACGTACTCTCAGGTGATCTCGTCAGTTTACTAAGAAATTATTCAACTGAACACCTGCAGTTCAACGTTATAACCACTCCACCGACAGGTTTGGACGGTTTGATGGATCTGAATAGGAACTGAAGGCAGGCCTAGTGTTCCGCCTCACAATGCTAGTGGTGACAGGCTGAGGTGAAACAGACTATATACAGTACAACATCCGCATACTGAATCTGGGAAAGGACAGAGAAAGCACATGGACAAACAAGAAAAGAGGGATAGTTGCATTCTTTGCATTTTGGGGCTTTGTCTACAATTCGTCTACAATGACGTTGGGCACAATCCGAGTTAACGAGCTACAGTACAGCACGCACAGCATATGTTGCTATCTGTGAAACTTTGAGAGACAGATGATATATGAAACTATTGCTTCTGGAACCATTCAACATGCTTCTAGATTGCACACTCAAAAAATTATCTTGATGCAGTACAGTACATTATACAAAGCAACCTTTACATTTTTTCTAAATCTAACTTTTCTCTCCATTGTACGTTTATAAACACAAATACATAATAAAATACAACATTTAAAACTCAAATCAACAAAAAAAAATACACCCCAATAGATCAATTATCCTGGTAAGACATCTAAACCTGTATTTTATCAAATTAATCAAGATAATATTTTGGAGTGTAACTATATGTATACATATTTTAATTTAAGCATTCAGTACAGGCTTTTTTCTGTTTCTAGACACAATAAACAGCTTTTGTTTATTCACAGGATAAACATAACAAATGGAGCTCTTTGCCTTAAATTTTAAAATTTTTCAACCATGGTAACCTTGTTTTAATTTGGAAGTCTCCCTTTCCTATAAAATAATTTACTTGCAAGTGGTATACACAACACGGTATGGACTTCCAAGTATGGAAAATATATATATAAAAAAAACACCTTTCTCAAGAATCAGAATTTGTAAACGTGGACATGAAACAGAATATTAAAAAATCAATTCTTGCCTTTTTTAATGTAAAGTTTTCAATTACGCTTAACCCATACGATGATCTTGGCGGGAATATTTATATAGATGTATATACAAATGATCGTTTTGCAGTTCTTTATTTTTTTGTCAGGGTGATTCCTAAAACGCAGTTCAGTCTTTAAGGTGTCAGAAGTCATTATGTCAAAACAAAACGAAAACAGAAAAGAAAGGCTTGGACCCACTTTCTTCACAGAGCTGATGAAGGCAGGAAACAGTGGGTTCACTGATCCTCTGTTCACTGTACACTTGATAAATAAACTTCTCTTCGGTGACCCCCGGAGATGGCTGCTCACACACTCATTGTCATGTTTGGAGAGTACTGTATATAGAGAGAAAGAGAACACAGTGACATGAGACAGGACCTTACCACACTAGTGACCGGAATTCACTTTCAACTGCATATTCTTTAATAATCAACACCAACAAAAAGTTAAATGTTACTCTTCTTGGGAGCTTAACAGAAGAATCTTAAAGAAGATTAAATATGAGAAGCAGGAACTCAAGAAAAATGGAAGTAAAAGAAAGAAATGGCATCGGTTTTCCAAAAAATGCTAACGCTTTGGGTTTGAAGACCACATTACGATTTCTTTTCTCCGTGTGGTGACATGAAAGTCGTTTGGCACTTTCTAACACAAGACCTCACCAGTCACTGCGCACGTCATTATTTGGCGAATGGATGACTTGCTGCTAAAAAGGGGACATATTTGCTGCTACCCGTTCCAGCAAATTAACTGAGTCACAAGACTATCACTCACTTCTCAACACAAAAGATCAGTGTTTCCCCATTACCGTACGTACAAGATGATGTATACGCTGCACGTGTTCATGCAGCCTGGGCCAACACCCAGTCTAGCTTCCTTGCTGCTGGGAAATCGATGTATGGGTATATTTTTTTTCAATTAAAGGCTTTGGTCAGTCCAAATCCAAGGACAGACTCACAAAGTAGAAAGAAAATCTGCAAAAAGGTGGGGCTCTGGCTACATTGAACGGGTTTTAAAAAACATCAGGTCTACACACGCCAATTCTGTATTCCAGCAAATTTACGACAGGAGCCCGTCAGCCCCTGCCTACTGTATAAGTGACTATTCACAGCGCCGACAGGTTGGCTTTGTCTCAGGGCGAATGTGGGATCAGACAGAAAGTGTGCACAGGATTTGCCGTTGCCAGCCCAGCGAAAGTGCTTCGCTCAAATGAAAGGGAGCTCAACAATTAACAGAGCTTGTGGCTAGGGGGGGAGGTGTTTAGTAATAACATATTAATCCAACAAAGGGTTTCACAGGCTTTTGCACTGCATCTCCTTATGATTCTTAAGGAATCTGGGTTATGTGTGGTTGTAAGGACACGCTTCTTCAGGGCAGTGACAGGCGCTTCTCCGGTGTCACCCAGACAACAGTGCGCCATGCACACCCGCAGAATGGCAGGACGGCAATCCACTATCATCTAACCCTGATCAGGCCTGTGGCTCACTTACAAGTGCTCTTCCAAGGACGTTATACACCAGAAATCAAGGGGAGAAATGAAACAACACAAGAACAGCTACTGCCGAGCACGTTACCACAATAAGCCCTTAGGTGTAGTTCATGAGACTGGAAATTTCGGTCATGAACTGAAATCCGCTGTCACTGCCCGTGATGTCCAGGTCGACGTTTGCAAGCTGTATGTTTAAATGCCACTTCAAGCTCAGGAGCTCCAGCTCAGCCTGCGGAGAGACCCCAGATTGAGTCCACTTACACTTTCGTTCTGAAAGGGATTCAGGAAGTTCCCCCCCATCTCGCCGTCGTCTCGCGGAGTGCCGGGCTGGTTGCTCATGCTCATGTTACCAGGAGAGCTCTGCAAAATATAGAGAGCAATTATTGAGGTTCTTGGCAGCAAAGTAGCCCTCCACTCAGAATTAAAGTGCAGGCAGATGTATGTCTGTTAAAACAGACTGAGCATGGAACTCTGGTCATGAGGGTGAATGGTTACTATTACAAACGCACTGCGCCACCAAGTGGCACACTAGAGTTAGTCCTCCATCCTATTTTAAGTGTTGCGATTTTGTTTAATTGTATTGCTCTCATACCTAAAGGTCCAGGCTGACATACTATACAAAGAAATCAAGTATTTTGACATTTATTTTGGAAAAAAGCATTAATCAACTGATGATCACGTTCAAATATTCCCCAACAACAATGTGGTTTGATAGTTCGCTTGTGTTTTTAAACTGTTTTTCCCAAGAGTTTCTCCTACTTCCTGAATGCCAAATTCAAAACAATGCATCAGTTCTGTCATGCCCTTGTGACTGACGGGTACCAATGTCTTGGCCTACAATCTTAGCCAACCACAAAGCCAAAGATTTGACTGGGAAAGATGAGAAAATGCTCAAGTCCAGCCAAGGCTAGAATGACTAAATGTGAAAGAAAATTTAAATCACCATCTCATCATTTCTCAGTGTCTGTCTGCACTGTATCCATTATTAATATTTGGCATTAACAGAGAATAAAAGTTGAACTGGGGCTGAACACACTAAAACAAACACAGACTTGGCAGCTACAGTGGAACAAACATGAGACTTCAGTTTATGAAACATAATCCGCAAAACAAACCAAGAACACATCTCTTGAGATACCATGGTAAAAATTTTGTTTTTTAAAATTGATTTAATCACTGTTTTTATGGCATGTTCACCCAATTGGGAGCTGACTGTCTTTATGTCTTGGCTCATTACAATAACAGTCACAGGGAGAATGGAGAACTGCAGACAGGATCCTTCTGAGCTGACCACCCACTGAGCTTCTGACACTTCTGACATTCATCTTCCAGGGGTGATGCCCAGGAGGACGTGCCACCTGGAGGGACGTCCCTCACCGACTTCACCACAAGCCTGCAAGCAGGCCAACTGGTAGCCAAATTGTCTGCTAGACTAATCTCTTGCAAAACACAGGGATTGTTACATGAATGAAGTGTTTTAATCCCAGCTGGACCTATAACCACAGCAAAAGTGTGAAGGACCATGACAAGTGGGGTCATGTGGCCCCACTTGTCAAGTGGCTCCTTATCTCTGCTGCACTGTGTTTGTTGATTTGTCTGGTGCATAAGTGAGAAACATTCCTTTTTGCTATCAGATGCACAGTTCACATAAACTATTGTGCACTAGAGTGGAAGGATTAATCTTTCAAAAGGTGAGCTGGGAGGTAATACACATCTGCTGTTCAAAGGATTTTTGCAAAAAAAGGTGCTGCTTATTCCCTGCTCCATGAAATGAATAGGAATGAACACAGTAGCTACTACAGTATATACAAATGAAGGATTAACCAAAATGGACATTTTCATCCTTTTTCAATTAATAAGTATGCATGCAACGTAAAGTTTAGGTTACAAAAGTCTAGGAAACTACTGTATGTTGCACATTAACTGAATGTTTCAAGTTGCTTAAGTACACAGAGATTGCTGGTCCTGGTATCAAATCAGACAAGCTGCTATCAGCAGTATTAACTTTCCCTCTATATACAGTTGTCAAGGGAGGACTTAACTCCTGAACTCTGTCATTTCCAGTTTTTAAAAACATTTTTTGTTTTGCAGGGACACTCTCTCTTCTGCAAGAGAGCAAAGATGGTCACACTCTGAGAGCAGTAGATGCCTTGACACAACGCCTAGAACCCACCGATCCAAATGTGACCTCACGTCACAGACTGACCGACCCTCATGATGTATGTAGTGAAAAACACAATACACAGCACCTTTCTGTCCTCATGGGGAATCTTCTCAAGATCAAAACATTTACTGACTTCCTTTGAAAGCGTGCTTCAAAAACATGGAGGACGGATATCACTCTTACCTTGGAAATACTGTCAATGTCTCCCGATCCTGGATATAAAAACAAGAGATTGCAATTATTTTTCACAGCATGCAACTGCAGGCGCAGCTTCCTGACAAGCCTAGAGAACTCTCACTGACCTGAGGCTACTTGCACTGGGCCTCTGACTGGTGAGGAGCTACCCACTGATTAACCAGAACACACTGTTATCTCCACTGCCGTTCAAATCCACATGTTGCACCAGTGTGCTGCCTTTCATTTTTCTCTCTGGGTTTCATCAGTTCTAAAGCCATACATTAGTAATAATGCATCACAGAGGACTCAGACAGCAACTGCACACCAACGCCAGTTCTCAAGCCTAATTTCACATTCCTTCTGAAATTCGTCAATTGATCTATTTTTGCTCTCAAAAAGGAAAAACATTGAATGATTTTGACAAAAGAAATACCACAAATACACAACAACCAGAGCTGTATTCCCAGAGCTTATCTTTCCAGAAGAATATAACATTAATAATTGGTAACATTTGTAGTAACATTATTACTAGTAATTGTTTTGACAATACCTGTAGTAATAATGGTAATTTTATCAATGGAAATCACAGTCTGCTAAAAAGAACAACAATCCATTTCTGACAAAGTAGAAGCTAATCACAAAAAGCGAGTGTCCACTCTGGAGGAATGCAAGACCTGTGTGAACAGGCCAAATGTCTGTTCTTACAGGGCAGCCAAGAAGTAATTCACTGAAGACAAAGCTTCCTGTTGTATGGTTTCAAGAATTAAACACAAGCTCCAGAATGTTCATTAACTGCATGTTTTCAGTAATTTATTCACTTATTCACTCTGTGTACCCTGTTCACTGGCCTCTCATTAAACATACAGCAAGTGGCTTCATGCAGGTCGACATTTGTCGTAGAGGCCCCGCCATGGAGGTGGTCTCCTGTAAAAATCACAGGCTAGAGGTGCGTGTTGTTCCCTGTTAGAAGCAATACAAGCTGTACACCTGCGACACGTGCTTCACAGCAGGTTGAAGATGCTGTCTTGTGGGATCCTGTCCTATATCTCTTGTAGACCCTGGATCAGCAGATGCCTGTTCACTGGTTCAAACTGCAGCTACTGTACATGGGTTTCCACCCCCTCCCTCTGCCATAACAGTACAAATAATCAGAGTAAATAAGAGTGCTCGAGAAATACCAAGAGCAACCACAAGAGGGACCCTCAGGACCATCAAGCATGACTTGCAAGAGGTCGGAATGAACAATCAACAGGTGTAGTTGATTTGTGCAGCTGAAAAGGTGTTGATCCTTCCTAGGACTTGTCTTCTGTAGTGGTTCAGCAAAAGGATACAGTACATCTGCAAAGGATGTCACTTGGGCATTTCAATTTCTAAGCATTTATATTCACAGTAGACAAACGGGACTCATGCCCTGGTCTGTGAAAACAGATGTGGACAGATGTGGAGAGGTTTCTGGAGCTGGCTTGTTTCACTGTCCATGCTATGTTTATTTTGGAGGCGTTTTCCCCAACTCAATTAGTCTGTGTGAGAAGGAACACAGCTCTGTAATGCTCCCTGGTTTGGGATCCACTGCCAAACAGGTGCTGCTGTTCAAAATACACATCAGGAAAAGTATTCTAGGGAAAGAATGCCTAAATAAACGTTCATATGAAGGCAGCAAGAATGTGTCACTGAAAAGAGCAAATAAAAATCTGTGAAACAGAAATGAAGACGAACAAACTAAGCTCTCAAATCAGGAAGAGTTGATCAGGAGAAAACTATGGAAAGGCATCTTGTCATGAACACAGGAATTGCGACACATTTGATCCGATACTCCTTTGGAATTCCGACTGAAACATCATTTTCGTTTAGTACTTGCATTTTAGGGGGGGTGGGAAGGTACAGTAAATCATTTTCCATCAAGCTGGCATAAACAAGTAGGATCTAATGGCAACTACAGAACGAAACAGGAATGAGATATCCACAGGGACATGTTGCAGTTCCACAGGTCTCAAAGCAAGAAGGTAGCTCAGAAGCTCTCTGCTTTCCTCAGCCGAGGTGCTTCCTCAGTGCCAAGTCTCCAAGTCCTCACTCTTGTGCTGTTTTTGCTCTCTGCCCTCACTGCATCCTTTGTCAGCAATGAGTTTGTTATCTGATCAGTCGGCGAAAACTCACTGCTGACTCTGGGGGTGTTCCAAAGCATGTAGCGCTTCCTTCACCTCATCCCAATTTCCAGTAATGTTTTAAATGTATTAGCACCAGCCGGCAAATGCAATTAAAAAAAAAACCGTGCAAGGTAAAGGATGAATGACTCACTCTTTTAAATCATTCTGTGCATTACTGAAAGATCCAAACTATTTAAAAAAAAATATTACAGCCCCCATGCATGAAACTGACTTGCTGAGTACAAACATGCTCTTTTCCACAATCCCTCCGGATGATGATCATTACTATTATAAAGGAGAATATGGGATCCTCCTGTAGTAAATTAAGTACGCCACTTGCTTTTGTATAATTTACGGCTCAGTGAAAAAAGAAAGCTAGAATAAATATTAATGCAATTTAGACTCTCTTTGAAAAACAGGTCTAGTCCTAGCCCCCACTGTGCTTGTGTATTTGTATTTATCTTCAGGGAGCAGTTAATGCCTTTTGGTCAAACATGGAGAACACAGAGAATGTGGCCCAATTCATTGTTATTTAGAAGAGCAAGAGAGTGCAATCAGTGCCGCTCTGATCGGGAAAAAAGCCATCAAGAACATCAAATTTCTCTTAACACACAAAGCTTCACACCTACAACTCCCCACTCTCAGATTAAGTCTAAATCTTTGCCTGCCCTAAACACTGAGGATAAACTGTTGCTATTAGTTCAAGCAGGGAGCTGCGTCAGCGTGCAAACTGCAAAGGAACAAGTAAATGTTTATTCCATGCTGAAAAGAGAAGAAAGGAAAGACAACGTTTCGGCTGTGGAGTCTTCTTCGGGTGTGCAGAAAAACACCCGAATCAGGATCCGCGGCTGAAACGTTGCGTTTCCTTTCTTCTCTTTTCAGCATGGAATAAACCTCTACTTGCTCCTTTACAACTATTGCCATTATTTTAACAAATCAATACATTTGAACAAATCCCCCTGATCTTGTTGGACACCACACAGCTGAAGGGTAATTTCAGTCAAGCACGAGATCATTCATTCTTCAATAGTTTTTAATGCTGGTGAGGACTGAGAATTTCCCAGTTTTGCCTTGGGAAATTTCCCAAAGGCAAGAGGGACCAAAAAGAAGAAGGACTCGCAGGTCCAAGCATGGTTTCGTCATGTGATCACTGAAATTCAGAAATTTCTTTTAATGACTCACATCATGTCATTGATCTTGAGAAGTGATTGTCTTCTAATGTGACCTTTGCTATCCTTGATATATTCATAAATTTGGAAAATTGCCATTATTTTGCCACTTTACCATTAGTAATTTGTATTTATCATTCAATATGTCCTGATAAATGTTTTATACTTATGTCTATGTCCTGTATTTTATTTGTTGTGATGTGTCCAGTGACTGCAGCTAACTCTGGTAAAACCAAAATTAATGTAGCTGGCATCATATGTAGTCTTTTGAAGTTTGTAAATCTATTTGCAAAGTTTTCTGTGTTTTATCAAACTGCCAGAGAAGACAGAATCACTTTCTGGATAACCAATGTGTTATAGAAAGTAAAGGAATTCATTATATTTCAAAACTGTAGCTGAAATGATCACTAGCATTTTTGTCCAAGCAAATTACAAGGTTGATTTCAAACCCATAACTATAACACTGCTGGTGTAAAACAGAAGTGACTGACAAGTAATACATACAAAAATGTATGTATGTAACCTCAGCTTTTTCTACAGCAATTCAAATGCATCAATCTTTAGAATGTAAGGAAGGTTAAAAGATAAATTGTAGTGTTGCTGGATGGTACATGGACAGTGCCAAGTCACTATTGACTTGAAATGTGCAAACAGAAAGTGTCTGACAGTGCATAGTGGGACACTATTAATACGCAGCTTTTAGTTAATGGACTATCTTAATTGATTATGCTGCTGGACCACTGGTTGAGAATCACAGATCTAGATAATGCTCGAAGAAATTTGAGGTGATACTGTAGGTTGAAGTGTGCACCCACACTCTTCTCACATCACACACCCAAAGGACATTCCCAAGGACAGTATACTGTGAAGCAACACGTTAACATTTTGTGTAAATGCAACCTACACCTGCTCTGCTGAAGCCCCGATTTATCAGGTTTCTTTTGATTGTTTCAAGCAAAAGTCTTTATAACATCCTTCAACGGCAGGTACCCTCTAGATTCAGAACCGAGAGACGGGGGGGGGATACTGCAGCTGTTCGGCTTTAAAATCGATGTGTCGTTCCAGAGGATTCTGCGCTAACAGACCATTTCTTCTCGCCTACATTCAGAAATGATCTTCGTAATTCTGCAGTCTCAACGTTCTCCAGCTATAACGGGCAATGCCTCCCCCCCCAAATACTTAACACCTGCAGAGCAGACGGGTTCTCACCCAGGCTGAAGGTGTGGAGTGGGATTGGCTTTCAAAAGGCCAGCTGGGCTGATATTTACCTAATGACCCGTTCATGTGATGTGGCTCCATTCCTGCCATGCCGCCGATGGGGCCATCTGAGCCCGGGCCCATCGGGAACTGCGGGCAGAAAGACACGCAGACATGAGGCGCAGTCACGTCCCGCCCTGCAGGAGGTGCCGAGGAGCACCGGGCTATGAACCCGCAACTCGCGTCTGGTCGCGCATTAGGACCGCCTGAGCTTCCCTGCACCGGCTGTCGAAAAGGGAGAATGAGACGTTCGGGGCATTTTTTTTAATTTAATATTTTCCGTTCTGGGGAAAATAAGACAACGAGGAATAAGGCCTCTGACTTTGCTGGTGTGATTGTGGTACTGAGGTCCACGTTGCTTCTTTTTGTCTTTTATAATGTTGACAACCTTATGCTTTTCAACTCTGAACACACGCTTCTCCTCCCAGAAGCCCGAAGCCCTGCAAGGCCTGATAAGCAAGTATTCATAACTGCATTTTAGCAACAAAGTAAAATAAAATCAATTACTCTGGCCTGAGCTTTGTTCTGACATGGACTGCTTCTTTCCTTCAGTCACTTTCTTTCTAAACACGGTGTAACATAAAAAAAATAATTGACCTTGTTTATAAATCGGTGTATTCCTCTACAGTCCTGCTAAAGATGTGGCCCCTGACATCCTGCACCTTTGTGAAGGGGAATGCTCTGGAGAATCACTCCCACTGTCTACAGTATGACTCTTGAGTCCCAGCTGATCTCCAGCTCAGCTGTGTTATTCAAGGCCCTTAGGAGACGGAGAAGGTGCAGGCCGGATTTTTGTTTTGCAGACTACTCAACACTGCTTCTGAGAAAAGGCTTTCACCTGAGTCCACAAAGTGAGTTTTGTGAAGAGAGGCCAAAGTACAGCATTTTAGCTTTATGGACTTTCTGCTGAAATGACGGAAACTGACTTCATAAGAATTACAATTCCCCCTTTCTTCATTGTAATCACAAGTACTCGTTACACACTGCATACACTGTACAGAGTCTCGAAATGAGAGCCAGCATTTTCTTACATTTGACCTGTTTGCTCCAGGAGGTACTGCGTTGATCATAGTGTACATGGTGTCACCAGAATTTGTTGAATCTGAAAGAGAAGACCAACTTAACATAAGAGTTTTAAAAGAATAACAAGCAGAAAAACAAGCATCCTGTATATAACACTCAACGCTATGTTCAGTGTTTAATAACGTTGTTACAGAAATATATGGACCATTAGCACATCTTAGGACGTGCCATATAGGACATCGGACACCAAGTCTGTAACGTTAAAAATAATAAGCATGATAAAAAAAGGGTCAAACAATAGATATCATAAAATAATTAAAAACTACATTTCTATCATCTCAATTAACAAGAAACTTGCAACACTGATGATGCTTTCAAATGTGAAATTTGAAATTTACAACTGCTCAGACTGATCTTACAAAAAGTATTTAAAAAGAGAGGCTACTCCTGTCAGGCACTCCCCTCTGAAGCCATCAGGAGCCTGCTGTTGACTTATCACTGCAAAGCCACTTTCACCACGAATAAGGAGGCATCTGAAGCAAATTGCGGGCAAATACAGGACAAAGACAGTTGAGCTCCCATAAAATAATCTTTATGGATCTAACCAAGTCTTTGACAGAAGGTATAATCATCATCAAGTTTAGACGCTAGCAGGCTGGTTGTCTTACATTTGATAAAAAGCAAAAGAGGAAATGGAAGAAGTGTATTGCCGTATTTAAATAATAAAAAAAGAAGTCCACAAATAAAACAGATTTACTGTAAAACAGTGCAGAGGCTTTTGACTCCCTGGTGCTGTAAGACAGCTTCCAGACAGACAGAAGCGGCCCCGTGCTGTAAGCGAGCTGTGGACTGACTGCCGGAGTTAATCACAGGACCCCGCAGGGCAACGCAAATTCAGCGCGATTCCTCATTTAGCGGACTCTAAAGCTCCCACACTAAGACCTTCGCAGGGAGCAAACTACAATAACAGGCATGAAACATCTTGAAAATCAAAAGGCAAAATACCTGTAAATACATTTAATGCACATAAATACTATATAGTTAAGGACATCAGTTAATTAATGAAAAAGGGATAATGTGTTTCGCCCAGCATTGTTTTAAAAAAGGGGAAGAAAAATGACCATTCCCCCTTAACAAAATGTACCAAAACTCTCCTCCCAGGTAACAGTGCTGAGTCGGCGGGTTCGGCCGAGTTTCAGGTCGATGTGCATTTCCTGCTGAGCCAGGCGGGACGCGCTCTGGGCGGAATTGAGCTGGACGTTTTTTTCCCCCTGCTGTGGGATTCTCAGAAGAGCTCCTGGAAAAGCACGGCCGGTAGCCAGCGCTAAACCAATTACAGCGCCGAGCCCGGAGGAGAGCGGGCCTCACGCCACAGGATGCAGAGTGGCAGCAGCCTCTCGGGTGAAGCCGAAGCACCTTTTATTCTGTTTCATGTTTTTTGGTCCCGGGGGTATTTGTGAGGACACCCACCGGGGAAAATTCAAAGCGTTTGACGGCTTTATAGAGCTGTATAGAGTTTATATATAAGCTGTATAGAGACTGCCTACCTGCGGGGCTGGGCATTATGGGAGTTCCTGGGGGTCCCCCGCCTCCCGGTGGACCCTATAAAGAAACACAAGACAGGTGTCATTGACACAGGCATGGCAGAGCTGTTCCGGATCCTTGGTCTGGCTCGTAGTGTAAGAGCAAGCCGCCACCGTCCGGACATCCTTAACCCTTAACAAAAATCACAAAGCCAAGAGAACACAGGAGGAGACCGATCAAGCCACGTGAAGATCATTTTAGAGTGGTGTAAGAATTTGTTCGCCAAATGGCAAATGCTGAGCCCAGCAATTTGACTCGTTGCCGAAGGAAAGTAATTTGAGCAGCGGTGTGCGAGCTGAGAGTTTTAATGCTATGGGGGAAAGGTAAGGACAGACCACACAGATAGATGATTGTTAACAAGCAGTTTGCAGGTCTGATTGTCGCAAGACATTGTGCTGAAAAGGTGTTAAATGTACAGCAGGCAGGAAAGCTGGCAGCATGAAACAGCAGCAGGCAAACGAACCAGTTAATACTTTGAGGGAAAACACTCAAGCCAGGTGAAGAGGACCAAACGAGCAAGATAAGCCGAAACACCTCCTCTTGATTTTAACCTTTCTTATGTTCTTTAGCAGTTCTGGACATTATAAATGTGTACAGTACATATATATGTGACCCCAGCCTTTTCAAACTCAGGATCTTAAGGTCAGTTATCAGGGTTCTGTACCCTGTACAGTACAATAAATCTGGCCTTTGGAAATGCTGATTTATTTCTTTTTCCTTCTAAGAAGAGCTTTGCAGAGTCAGGCCTGTGGCACAGCAATCTATCATTCCAAGCAAAATACAACCGAGGGCTAGAATATCAGATGCTGATCTGTACGACACATTTAAACCGAGGAAGGCCACAGAACACCATTTGTTTTAGTTTGACCTGTCCATCTGTCAATCCCAAACCTGCTTTCTGGTTTTTGTTGTACCAACTGTTATGCGTCACCTCAACTCTAAATCCAGGCGTCTCATTCCTATTCTACTCTTTAATGTGCTCCAGAAGCCCTACTCAGCAGAGAAGAGCCCAGGAGTGAGGAAGCCTGCTCTTCAGGGAGAGGCTGGGGAGAGACGTCATGCTCACTGCATGTGAAGCTGAGAAGCACTGTGGAACAATGTTTCAGGCAATGGGCCTCATACAGAATGTTTTAAAAATGTCTTTTAATCCCCTAAAACAATATGCAGGTATCTCCTCCTTATAAACCTCTAACAAAACCAGCTAATAAAAATAATAATGACAACAGGAAGAATGGAGCATGAACGTTTGTTTAAAACCTCTGGCATGCCCATTAGAACTAGGTTTATTTTTTTAGTGCTCCCTTCTTTTCCTCACGGTACATCAGCCTAAATTTCTCACTTTTCCTGTGCCGATGAGGTCGTGTGCCGAGTCTGTGCCAGTTACTCACACATGGAAACTATTTTACCCAAGCCAAGTGTTTTCTTTAAGAGTGGAATCGGAACATGCTCCAAGCGCAAACAGAAAAACCCAAAGATTTTAATTAGCATCAACAGCATTTCAAACTATCTTTTTCAACGTCCGTGAAGAATAGACATACCACCCCAGGGGTCAAAGCAAAGGAGATGAATTAACACGAACCCTTGCTAAAGTATTTTAACTAGAACACCAATATTTCCCTCTTACTTTCCTTCAATTCACATAAAAAAGAGAAATACTTAATTACAAGGCGTTTCCAGAAAATCAAATGTTAAAAATATAAAGCATCACACCACAGCAACTTGCATGATATGCCGTTTTAAAAACACCTGCTGTAAACAATGTTTCAAAACAGCTTGTACTGTCAAAAGATTTACACCCCGGTGCAGACTGTAATTTATGACGATAAAAATGCAAAGCACTATATATTAGTTTAGCACTATATAAGCACTATATATTAGCTACATCAATTTCCCTATGGGATTAATAAAGTATTATCTATCTATCTATATTACAAGATATTTAGTGAATCAGCAAAAACAGACCCAGGATGATTTTGATATTGACCAACTTGATATTTGAACAAATGGATGCCCAACATACTGGAACCCTCCCCCCCAACCACAATCTCCCAGCAGGGGGGAGACAGACAAAACACCGCAATCAGGAGGCAGAGGACTGCATACATTTAATTAATACCTCTGATTAAAACAGGAAATGTATTGTGAATCAATGTCACAGTTAAGCTCAGGCACTAGAATGGCCTCGTAAGCTTTCTTGTGTTCTCTTGTGTCATTAAAAGCAGCACGTAGGCATGGCAGGGCCTAGAATTTGCTTTAAGGTAGTGTTTAAAAAGACTGGGGATGACTTCAGAGTCATGAAAGGAGACTCTCTTTCCTCTTCTTTCTGATTTCTGATGCTTGTCCTCAGCATTCGTCTTGTCTTTTCAAATTTGTTACTGACGACAATTTGCTGTAGCACCATATGCCTGTGGAAAATGCACTGCTTCAGGCAATTTGGACCAGACTGATTACTGCTCTGCTAATGAACATCAGCATATGCACTGAAAATGCCAGACAAAAAACAACAGGACAAAAAAACAGGAATCAGATGTGCACTTCTCAGCCAATATGCAAGACAGCCTTCTCTACATCTGGACAGCTATTTCCACACATGAATAAAGATGCATTAGACTTAAAAGTAAAGACATCACCTACCGCATAACTCCCAGGAGAAGCAGAAGAGTATGGTATCTGAGAAGAAAGAAAATGAGGAAATACATTAGCGGCTGCTGATCCAGAGAAGAAAACATATAATTTACTGAAATCGCTGCACTGCTGTGGTAGACATACTGCATCAACTGAGATGCCATGTGTTCCCTGACCATATGTTCTCTGAACAGTCATAGAACCACGGGCATTTTGTAAACAAGAACATGCACTAATGTAATTTTACATTTTTATGGACACAAAATCAGTATATTCAATCGTATCCCATTTCCAGAGACAGTGAGAATGTCCACAGCAACTGTTCTCGGGATATTGCTAGGGGAAAAGGGCCATGTTCTGCTGAAGCGGAACACGCAGCTTGTTAAGAGTTTAGGCTTGCAGATTCAGGAGCTCAGCTCTAAGGGACTGACTTGAATTCAATTGAATTGCCAATTTTATTTTGTGACATAATTTGTTGTTTTTTTTCCGATTTTGGAATCACCAGTTCTATTTTTTTCCCTTACATCTACAGTATGTGCCGATAGATGTCATCGGCATGATCTATGCAGCAGACGTGAAGCCTGCAGCCGCACACGGGAGAGAATGAGGAGATGAGGGCAGACCCCTGTGACCCGCTCACCTTCCAGCCTCTTGTCCTTCAGCGTCACAGGCACCACAGCTTCCTACTGAAGGTGATGCGCCAATGGCAGAGGAGACACGTCCCTCACCAGTAGCACTGAGTGCCTGCAGACGCTCTGCGGGCCACAGGGGGGTGCCGTGTCGCGACAAAGTGGCCAAACCCTGACTGACCAACCCCACACGGCCCCCCAGTGAAATGTAAACACCCCCCAGGGAAATGTGGTCACAGCTGACCCAGGCTCAAACTCCCAGTTTTCATTTCCAATTGAAAAAATGATAATTTTTTGGTCATCGTCACTTATCTCTGTGTTGGCAAAATGCGGAAAAAGGATCCGCCTGAACACCAAAACAGGGCCTCCAGGTCTGCAGACCTACTGCTCAACTCGATCCCATTTCTAACAGCGCCTCACAAGGGTTTCTTTTAAATTCCTTTATTATTTGCCATTGTTACTAGTCTTTTGCGTTCTATAGTACATGCCCTAACGGACTGCCAAAGCTATGCCTGTACTAAACACTGGACATGTTAAAGGGAAACTGCAACACTATGGTTACATTTCAGGGTGAGAAAGAATCATCATTGATAAGTGCATTGCAAACCACAATAAAGGTAAAAAGTACACAGTAACTTGTAAAAATTCTAATTTACATAACAAAATAGGCAATTGTCCAGGTCTGCGCAGCGCCATGTTCTGCAATTCAGAAGGAGGCAGCAAAACTTCTGGTGACGTGTTGCAGGCTTGTGAGTACATCACTTTTAATACAACAGAAATGTTGCTCTCGTACCTCAAGGCAGTTTTGCCGACAAATACTGCTTACTTGATAACCCTGCATGCAGATCACGGTGGAACATTTCTGCAGTGTAATGTCTATTGCACAACCTGTACTTATTCGCTCGTACATCAAATTACATTAGTCCTTACGGTGACTAGCATGCAGGAAGGACTGCATCACCTCGTAATTCGTGAGAAAACGAATGCAAGTTTGAAACTTACATGACTTGCACCAAGTTCACAAATTTGTGCTTAATTTGGAATTTGTAAAACGTTTCAGTAATATCAATTAATTTATTTTGTTACCGAGACTTAATAACTTGTCTGAGAAACTGGGAGTGCTAGCCCCCTTTAATGACACAAAATAACATTGTTTTGGTCAGAAATTAATAGATAAAACTTTCTTTTTAGGATAAACAAAAACGTTGGGAACCTCAGTCCTGACAGTAACCTGTCCCTGTCCCATTTCGAAAACATGCATGTCACTTTGTTGCTCTGCCTAATATTTTAACACAGTTGAAATTTGTACATTCATTTAGGCTGGTTATACCTGAGTAGAGATTTGCATTTTTAGGGCATTGGCATGAAAAGTTTTAAAACTATCTGGCAGTTTTTCCACTGATGTATTGTCTGTATGAAATTCAGTGTGTGCACTGAGGTCTATAAGGCAATGTCTCCACAAAACTGGTTTCACCTTGCTCGAGAAAAAGAGATTTTGGTCTCAATTCTACGTAAACAAAGAATTAGTCTCAATGACTCATTTAATCTATAGGGAGAATATAAAGCTTACTTCACTCCAGTGAAATGTAAACAACGTACACAACTGAGAGCATTCTGTGCGGCATTCTAAATACACAAGTGATGTTTTAGTGATGCAGGGCTGTTACAACATCTTAAAACATCATAAATTATTGCATACTGTATTTTGTTCTTCATTATGATAAACTGATGGAATCTTTATGTTTGATTTCGACCATACTGTACCTCAGCTGGATATACTGGATATACTTGAAACACGAGTAATACATTTTAAGAACACACAGTATAATGCTCTTTAACCAAGCTTAGTTAACTCAAAACATTAATTTTACATTTTTATATAAATTGTCGGCACTAGGGGGAAAAAATCAGAAAATATCTTTTTAGTGCACAAATCTGCATTGTGTTCTCCCCTGAAAGTTAGATTTCATAGTAACTATGAAAACAGTGCTAAGGACACAATGTATGCTCTGGCTTGTACTCAACTCACTTATGATCCAGTATTTTTCTTCAAATTATTTATAACAAAATTGTGACAAACTCTGGAATGGAGCACAGCCTAAGTATGCCTGCCTTGGTGTCTCTGGCAGCCCGAGAGAACACAAACAGTCCGCTCGCTCCGAGATGAATGTCCTGTGCTGTTTGTGTCTGTGAAAACGGGCTGCTGAGACTTCTTCCTTCTCAGCAGTCAGACAGCAGGTACCAATGGGACACAATGAAGAAGCATCGCGCTGCCCCCAGTTTGTCAAATCCACTCGCCCACTCAGCGCCGTGGGATTTCTCAAGCACTGCTGAAGAACTACAGCCACCAGCCGACCTCTTGCTGGATATAAGGAGTTTCATTTGTTGTGCTGCCCTTTTAACCAAATAGGATGTAGAGACGTACTGCAGTTATAAGAGACGGGGTTTAGATATGCTCACTCTAGCCTCAGCGCGGTCAGGAATGCTTGGAAACTGGCAGACACCATAAAATCTAATCTTAGGAAAAAGAAGCTTGGTCCAATCTGTATGTAATCTATACAGTATGCTGCTCCGGTGGTACAGTATGTCTGTGCTGTTAATATCTTCTACAAGACCAGTCTACCTCAATCCCCTGTCCCATTGTGCAGTACATCACAAGAGGTGACAAGTGTGCTATGCATTTCAAATCCTAAGGCTTCCAAATCTGAAGGATGAGCAGGAAAGACCCTGAAGAAGTTGCAAATTGCTGAAGTGATAAAAACTCCCAAGAGCCACTTGCTGCCAGGCATTTGAAATCACCTTCTTGGAATGCAAGGAGCGCTGGTGAAATTCAGTAAATCTTGACACACCACAGCCTTAATGAAGCTGATACTGGAGGACTTGGTTTCAGGCAGAGACTGCAGTATTAGTGAGATGGCTGACAAAGTGTGAGGAAAAAAAACAACCTCATTTATGATGTTTCCCCATCTTTTCTGATGAAAAATAAAATCCTTGTGATTTTTACCTCATTATAAGACTGGCTGCACAAGACTGAAAGCATGTTCCCTTCATGAATCTGCTATTTCAGCAGAGACAGTGGGTCAAATATTTTAGGACTGGGTGTTTCGTGCAGCAATTAAGGGCTGTCAGATTATGATGGGGAAGCGCGGTCAAAACCAAGAATAGGAGCCACTTTATTTTTCTGGAAGGTCCTGCACAGCCATGTAGCTTCAAAAACAACAGGATGCGATCCTTGCGTCATTTATCAAGTGGCAATCAATTGAGATACAGTAGACGGCCCAGGTGGCCTCCTCTAGCTTGTCTTGTATCCTTTCTTACGTTCTTAATCATTTCAGTTGTTAACAAATAATACAGATGCCATTTAAACAATGCTTAAGCCTCAATTACTAATTTCCTAGAGCTCAGGCTCAGATTTACAGTAGAGATCAGCATGCTGCTCAGAGTACTGCAGATTAAGGCATCCTTTCTCTCAAAGAGTAGACAGAAAATTCAACGCTTGTGCCAGACTAGAACAACAATCAAGCGGACTTTTTAAAATGCCTGTGCCGCTATCTTCAATAAAATCAATTTTGTTGCTTTTTTTTGCCATGGCTGAAGAGCAAAATGGAGATGCACAAAAACGTTTTTATTAGATTTATTAGCTTATTAGGTACAGTACAATGATTTTTGAGCTTGTGGCTGCATGGTGTGATCTACTGGGTTCACACCCTTTTCACTCCCCCCCCCCCATTTTATCCAGGAGGCAGTTAAGGTACAAAAGCACTCTCCTCCTCTTCAGCCTGAACTGTCTTTTCCTCAAGTTAGCCCTGTCAGCGTCAAAGAGGCTCCAGGACTGTCTCACTTCATGCCTTATTCTAAACCTGACATACATGAGCGTCCCCAACGTGCACTTATTAAAGCACCTATTGCTTCTTTCACAGCAGAGTAACTCCAGAAGGATGACTGAATGTGCCAACAAACTGACCTCATGAAGTAGGATTAAATGATTAAATGTTTTTCATTATGTCTGATATGTTCTTAGGCCTTTTCAACATCCATAAGATCTACAAATCAGAACCTTAATTCTCATTTCATTTCCATTTGTTAAGCATCTGCAAGCGCTTCAATGATCAGCGATCACTAAAAAAAAAACCTAAGATCCTTGGACCACTTAACTACTGACTACCGAACAGGCTAGATTAGCAGAAGGGCCTCCTCCTGTCTGTAAC